AAGACCAAGCCAAAAATAAATAAATAAAATCATTAAAAAAAAAAAAAAGACAGAGACAGGATGGGGCTCAGAAAGCCAGGATTGGTACTTGCTTGTCTGCAGGGGTGGAAGCCCTGACTCCAGCTGTAGCTCTCACCGGCTTCTTATCGTATCTAGCTTTGCTCTCATTTTCTCACAGTTGAGTTGAATTATTTCCAAAGAAAATGATAGCATGATTCTTAAGAGCCGACTGACTAGTGTTATTTTTCAAGTCTTGACTTGTCTGGTAACAGACCTAAACCTGAACTTTTCTGTTGGTAATTATGTTTTTCTTACAAGTGATGTATAGTCATTTGAAGCATCTTAATTATCAGGGCTATAATTGGGAGGTTTCCCTGCTTTCTGGTTCAAGTCAGTGTCAGTTTCATTGCTTTCAGCTAACAAGTTTTCTTCAAAGAGAAAATGGCCACAGTACAGCCTGTTCTGACTGTTAAATAACCAGGACATAAGTAATAGGCCACTTGCAGTGGTTGTGTGTGTGTGTGTCTGTGTATGTGTATACTTAGTCATGTCTGGCTCTTTGCAACCCCATGGACCCTCCAGGCTCCTCTGTCCGTGGGATTTCCCAGGCAAGAATGTTGGAGTGGCTTGCCCTGCCCTTTTCCAGGGAATCTTCCTGACCCAGGGACTGAACCCTAGTCTCTTATGTCTCCGGCATTGGCAGCCGGGTTCTTTATCAGCTGAAGCACCAGGGAAGCCCCCTTTCAATTGAAGACCTCTATCAAAACCAGTTCTGCACGATAACATCTCCCCCCCCCCAACGGGTCCTTTTTTCACTTAGTCACTAAATTTGTGTTGGATAGGATAGATTATTAGTCAGGAATCATTTAGTTGGAAGTAACAGATTCTTCTTTGAACAGTTTAGCTTTAATAGGAAAAGAAAATAGAAGACTGTATGGATATTGGTCCATGTAGCTGAGGATACACAGTGCTGGATTGACTTCAAGAAAGGCTGGATCTGCCTGGATTGGGAGGGAAGTTTGGGGGAGAATGGATACATGTATATGTATGGCTGAGTCCCTTCACTGTTCACCTAAAACTATCGCATTATTAATTGGGTATACCCTGGTACAAAATAAAAAGTTTTTAAGAAAAAAAAAAAGAAAAGCTGGATCCAGGGGCTTAAAGAGTGTTGTCAGGATTCTCTTTCTAACTCCTAAAGCTGTTTACATCCCTGTTTGGCTCCATCATCACTGAGAGCCTCAACTCTGCATCCCTAGAACTTAGAATCCCAAAGAAGAGAGCCCGTCTTCCTCCTGGCTTCCATATTCCAAACTCAGGGAAGCCCTGGGCTTGTGCCCACCCCCAAGCCAGTCACCATGGCCTGAGCAACGAAGAACTCTGGCGAGCCTAGGTCACGTGTCCACCTGGGATGAGGTGGTGAGGCATCTTAAGTGGTGAATCACCAGGATGAGGAGGAGAAGGTGTCTCCCCAGAGAGAAAGGAAAGAGGGGGAGGAAAGGGATGCTAGGTTAGCAAAACCACAGAGGGCTATGCCAGATACCACTGCACACAACATAAACAGTGAACACAAAGGTAGAGCTTTTCCAGTCTATAGCTGTTTTTGTTTTTGTTTTATTTTTATTGGACGATAGTTGCTTTACAATGTTGTGTTAATTTCTGCTGTATAGCAAAATGAAACAACTATGTGTTTCATATACATAGTTATATATACATATAACTATATACATATATATATACACATATGTGTGTATATATATCTTCTTTGGATTTCCTTCCCCTTTAGGTCACAGGCTGTAGTTATTTTCGAAAGGCTCTCCAAGTTTATTATTTGCTGTTGCTCATGCTGGTCACGCTCGTCCCTGGACTGACATCTAGATGAAAGCAGAGGAGGCTGCCCTCGGGTTTGACCCAGTGGAGGGCTGTGAAATGACTTTGGGAGGAATACACACAATTGTGAGTGCTCCTTCAAAGTCATCTCTTCCTCTAGGGTCTAGACATCGCCTTGAATTGGTTCCAATAAAGGGGATTTGGTTCAGCAATCATCTGGTTTCAGACAGGCCAGAAAGGAAACCATGAGAAAAGGTTTGGGCAATTAGGTCCAACCGAAAGTAGGAAGTACTGAGCTTTGCAAAGTGAATGTGTGTAAAAAGGGTGCTGCTGAGAGAGACTGAAGAGAGAAGTGGGAAGGGACGCCCAGATGAGTGTTGGCGACACGCCCTGTCACAGCCAAGGCCCCTTCCTGCGCTCCCAGCGGGGAGCAGCCTCACCTCTCCTGCCGGCCCTTCCCACCGTGAGCAGGCCTGGGTGGTTCCTGAGCACCCCCGTCACCACAGAACCGGCTCGGAAGCCGGCCTAAATAGAATGCCATCTTCCTCATCTTCTCACCACCACACCCACAGGCTAGATCTTGGTGCAAACCTCTGTGATAAGACAAAAAGAAGAATGCTGAAATTAGACAGTTGTCCAAATATGGTGATCCCTCGCCACTATTTTTAAACCACAGTGATACAAAAGTGCCTGTATTCCTCCCCCCCACCCGCCATGTATAGACAGTCTGCTCAGCACACTACAAATCTCCCCAATCTTTCTATAAAGTGTGGTTGCAAATAGATCCAATAAAACCAGTGGAGATAAGAGCTTTATTTAATTCATAAGTGAAGACTTTAAAAAAGTATCTCATATATTTGAGGAAAACCTCCTAATCTCACTGTGACTGTATCAGCATTAAAATCTAGCTCAGAGAAAGTATAAATCATGATTGTTCCTTCTCTTCATGACTTACAACAAAAATGTTTATAATTTCCAAGTGGCAGTTAGATATCACAACAAAGCCAGAGTTAATAAACCTATCAGTTCTTAGTTTTTAAACTATGTAGAAAACTCAGTGACAGGTTATAGGATTCGTGATAATTAACGCCTCCACTTTACTTGTGCTCACTCTGTAGTATTTTGTCAGTGTTCATATGGTAAGAATCAGTCTCTTCTTTAAAGTCTTTCTTCTAGACCAGCAGTGAGGTTTAAGATATATTCCTTTTGATCTTCCTGAGGCTATCCCAAAGTGGACATTATTAACAGTATAATTTTATATAGCTGGAAAAACAGAGGCCCAGAGTGGGTAAGGATCTCAATCAAGTCACACGGCAAGGAAAGGATGGTCCAGCGTTCACTCCTCTGGTCCAGCCAGCCCTTCAGGGCTGTGTCTTTGGCCTGTGAAACTCATCCTTTAGCGCTTTGCCCTGTCTTCCTGCCATCCTTTCACTGCTGCCCTCAGGCAAGCCAGACCCACCTTTCCTCTGCTTTACGCAGTTGCGACGCCACAGAGGGGACTGGAAGAGGACGTCTTTCTTGGTCATTGCTAGACTTCCTGACACCTCTGCTCCCCGCTGCTTGCCCCACTTGCACTGAAGCCACTTTACTGACACTGGATGTGGTGAAGGAAAGTGCAGCTTTTATTGCAGGGCCAAGCAAGGAGGACAGGCAGCTCATGCTCAAAAGGCCCAAACTCCGTGATCCCTTTTAGAAGAGGTGTGGGTTGCAGGGTGCCTCTGATCGTCCTGTCTACTGGGTCAGTCTGGGCTGTGATGAGGCGCCCCTCCTCAGGCCGGACGGCAGGGCAGGCTGCCATGTGGTGCTTCAGTTGTGGATGCAGGGCTTCTGTGGGAAGATTCAGGAAGCTACAGAAACCAGAACTAAGATCTCCAACATGCCTTCAAGCCTGGCTTTGTTTCATATCCAAGAAATGTATTGATAGTAAATTTGTTTTTATCTTAAGGAGACACCAAAACTCTATAGAGTTTTTATGGAAACTATGTGAGCTTCCCTGATAGCTCAGCTGGTAGAATCCACCTGCCATGCAGGAGACACAGAAGATGTGGGTTCAATCCCTGGGTTGGGAAGATTCCCTGGAGGAGGAAATGGCAACCCACTCCATTATTCTTGCCTCGGAAATCCCATGTACAGAGAAGCCTAGTGGGTTACAGCTGAGGGGGTCACAAAGAGTTGGACACGACTGAGCACATATCCATCCATCCATGCATCCATTTCAATGCAATTCTATTGATGCTTTGAAGGAAAGGAAATGAGGAAGAACTAAACAAGGATCTGCTTGCCCCACTTGCACTAAAGCCAATTTACTGACACTGGTTGTGGTGAATGAAAGTACAGCATTTATTGGAGGGCCAAGCGAGGAGGATAGGCAGCTCGTGCTCAAAGGCCCAAACTCCATGATCCCTTTTAGGGAATAGGTGTGGGTTGCAGGGTGCCTGATCAGCTTGTGTACAGTTCTCTGACTGGCTGATGGTGAGGTAACAGGGTGATGTTTCAGGAATCTCAGTCATCATCTGGTTCCAGCCTGTCTATGTGCTGGTGGTCAGCACGAAGTTAACTTCCTCCACTGGGTGGGAGTTCTGATATCTGCAAAACAACTCAAGGATGTGGCTCAGGATATTATCTCGATAGCCCTTGAGGAGAAACCAAGCGTCCTCGACTTTGTTTTATGACTAAGCTATTATGATTGGGTTGACCAAAAAGTTGTTCAGGTTTTTCTGTAAGACAGTATGGAAAAACCCAAACAAACTTTTTGGCCAACCCGGGGTCTTGTTTCATTATTCTTTGTTTCTGTTTCATTTTTGTGTGTGTGTGTGTTTTTGTGTGTTTGTTGTTTTTTTTTTTTTTTTTAACTTCTCTAGTTAAATTTGCTCTTTGGTGCTCTAGGAAGGCCTCGGAAGCTTAAGCTTTTTTACAACCAAGAGGCTTGGGGGTCAAGGGGGAGAGGGTGTGTCTGTCAACAGGAGGCCCCACAGGATCTTGCTTGCTTTCAGTGGGAAATTTCTGAAAGGTTACAATAGGGTTAATTTATATTTTGATAAACTTTTTTTTTTTTTATAAACTTAAAAAAAAAATCTAGCTAGTTATCTCAGCCCAGCCCCTACTACATCTGTTCCCTAGAAGCCAAGCCTGTGGGAGTGATGTGTTTGTGCTCTTGTTACTTCAATCAGCTTGCCTGGGCCCAGTGGCAGGGACCCCAGAACTTGAAGGTGCTGACAGAGAAGACCTGCTGCTGTTGAGTGAAATCTTCAACGCTTCCTCCCTGGAAGAGGGCGAGTTCAGCAAAGAGTGGGCCGCTGTGTTTGGAGAAGGTCGGCTGAAGGAGCCAGCGCCCACTGCGGCCCCAGGAGAGCCGGACCCCAGGCCCCAGGCAGGCTCAGGATTCCTTCCTTCACAGCTTCTAGACCAAAACATAAAAGACTTACAGGCCTCGCTGGAAGGTACGGACCTCAGGGATTATAATGGGGTGGCGGGGTGGGGGAGGGGGAGTTGTGGTGGTGGGGAGGTGGTGGTGATATATTGTTTGTTTTTTAATCCAAAGACCTATTTTTCTTTATCTTCTTTTTTGTGTTTTCTGAGTTTTATCCTATATCCAGTGTTGTTTATTTTTTGTTTTGTTTTTGTTTTTTTATTTTATGTCCATTGACTTTAGCTGAAGCGTCAGAATCACATTCTAGCCTTAAGATCTGTATTAGGGTTTAAAATCCTCTCTGCATAATTTTCTTTCCGTACTAACACTTCCTATTAATCAGAGGCAAGAGGGGTGGTCCTCAGTCTTCCTGTCTTACTTTGATTTTAGGCTTTTTCATAGCACCCTGGAGAGGTCGGAGTGCCTTCACAGTCATGGCCTATTCACATGGCCGTTCCTGCCTGGCCAGTGCCCTAGCTGAGTTCTTCCATATCCTCGTGAGACGACGTTCCCACAGACATGGGGCTTTCTGCGTGCTTTTCCCCTTTCCCACCATGGCCCACCCCTTTCCTGAGTATGCCCTCAGCTCAGCCATTCCTGTCCTGCCTGAAACCCAGCAGAAACAGAGTTTTCACACTGATCAAAAGTGATGAGACACCTTGGTAAGGGTCCAAGGTGCCCCAGAGCTCACATGCTGGTTCAGAGTTATTGATGTGCGGAGCAGATTAATTTTGAGTGCAGAAACTAACACTCAGGTTGAAAGTTAGGTTTTTAAGTTGGAGTTTCTAAACAAACAGACCTTGAGAAGGAAACCTTTTCAGTATCTGAACACGTTTTTGCTCTTTCCATGTTTTAATTATAAGACAGGAATGGGCTGTTCAGAAGTTCTCAAAGTGTTTTGATTTTTCCATGAATTTAGGTTATCTCCTTAATAAACAGTATGTTTATCTGGCACTTAGAGCTGAGAACAAACAGCAGAGCTGGAATGATTAAGTAATTATGGGCTATTAAAAAAAAAAAACACTCAGGTCTTTGCAGATGAGATCATGGACATGGCAAAAGTTGGTGGGCAAGACCAAAAGAAAATCTCTCCTCTTTTTTATGAAATACGTGTTTCCTTTCATCTTCCTTTTTGAGTCCTATTTTGTAGCCGTCTCGTTTATTCTCAGTAATGAGGCTAGAGATGAGAGGGATAACTGCAGTCCAAAACTACTTCTCTGCCCCGAGTCTCACCCCAGTTTCACCACCTCTTTTGCTGGAACCCCAGATGAACAAGGTTGCCAAAGACCAGGTTTCACCCCCACCCACCTGTGGTGGAGGCGCTAACAAGGCGTGGGAGAGTCGGGAGAGGCAAGACAGGAAAGGGACCCACAGCTCAAAGCCCAGGGCTGGGCTGCTGGAGACCCTCCAGCCTTGCTGCAGGGTGAACCCCCCGGAGCCCCCAGCTTTGGAGACCGCTGGGTGCCTGCTGCCGCCAGGAGCCGCAGTGGCAGTGCTGCGTCTTAGCTGGGGTGGCTGAGCATCACTCTCTCTTGGGCACCTCGGGCTGACAGTGAGAACTCAGAGCTTCACATCCTCTTCCTGAGCGGGTGGAGCAAGACCTCAGCCCAGGCCCAGAGCACTGTCCCCGGAACTCTGCCCAAGAACTGAGACAGAAGCAGCAGCCATGGGCTTGGCGCTTCAGACTCACCCCACGGCCAGGAGAAAGGCCCGCAGCCACACGGGGCTGAGGGGGGAGTTGGTCACACAGCACGAGAGATGCAAGCTGGCACGACGAAACGAGAAAGACGTACTTTAAAGGGAAGCCATTTATGTCTCAGGCAAACAGTTTCACTGGAGGTTGCCGCCCTAGTAGCACTGCAGCAAGATTCTTGTCTGTCCAGCAAAGATGTATTCAGTCCTCTGGGTGCCAGGCACTGGGGAGTCACCTGAGAACAAAACGGGCAAGGCTTCTGCTTTCCGGGAGCTCACATTCTAATGGAGAGGAGATAACTGTGGTGCTGGAGAAGACTCTTTAAAGTCCCTTGAACAGCAAGGAGATTAAACCAGTCAATCCAGAAGGAAATCAACTCTGAATGTTCATTAGAAGGATTGATGCTGAAGTTCCAATACTTCGGTCACCTGATGTGAAGAACCACCTCATTAGAAAAGACCCTGATGCTGGGAAAGATTGAGGGCAGAAGGACAAGGGGACGACAGAGGATGAGATGGTTGGATGGCATCATTGACTCAATGGATATGAGTTTGAGCAAACTCCTAGAGATAGTGAAGGACAGGGAAGCCTGGTGTGCTGCAGTCCATGAGGTTGCAAAGAGTCGGACCTGAATGAGCGACTGAGCAACAGCAACAAAACATAATGAAAAAGCAAATCACATTGTAGGTTAGAAAGTTACCCATGATGTGGAGAAAAGGAATAGCAGAGCCAGAGCTATTGGTGGGGGAATGGCAGAGCAGGTCAGGGAGAGAACTAAATGGGACTCTTACTGAGAAGATGAGATCTGAGCAGAGACTCGCAGGAGGCCAGAGAATTAGCCATGTGAAGATCTAGGCAGGGAAACCCCTGTGCCCAAAGGGAGGATATGCCTGATACAATTGAGGGTCTGCAGGAGGAGCACTGGGGTTGGAGTGAGAAGGAGAAGTGCTTGGAAAGGAGATGGGCTGGGTCTTATAGGCCTTGTAGCCATTGGAAGAACTTAGGAACCATCATAGCTTCTTGGACCAAGGATGGACAAGATCTGGTTTACCATTTACAAGACCCATTCTGGATGCCAAAAGTTTCATTTCCTCTGCTGAGGTTCTGTCAGGATCAATATTAAAGGAGTTATTTTGTAACCTCTGAGTTATCCTGTTTCCTTTGCATGTGTGTGTGCACATGTGCACCCATGCCCACACACTTAGTCACTCAGTTGTGTCCAACTCTTTGCGACCCTATGGACTGTAGCCCACCAGGTTCCTCTGTCCTTGGGATTCTCCAGGTAAAAATATTGGAGTGGGTTGCCATTTCCTTCTTCAGATTATCTTCCTGAACCAGACATCAAACCCACATCTCCTGCATTGGCAGGTGGATTCTTTACCACTGAGCCACCAGGGAAGCCCCAGTATTAGGTATTAGACTCACTAAATAATTCTCAGGAGAGACTCAAGTCACCTGAAGGAGCTTTCTACTTTTCCACAGATGTTGTCTTCTTCTCCCTGGGTTAGCCCCCACTTCAGAGACACTGAGGTCTAAAACGGATTTCCTTTATCTTGGTAAAATAACAAGAACTAGCGCAGTGGTCAAGCACTGCCCCATGTGCTTTAGGTGTGTTATTTCATCCTCACCGCATCCTTCCCAGGCAGGCAGGCAGGCAAGCCCTGGTGTCATCTCCAGCCTGCAGCCTGGGAAACAGAGAAACAGGGAGTAAGTAATTTGCCCCAGACTAGACCTCTGGTAGGAAGCAGGTCGGATTGTGGGCCTGAGCCCCTAGACTCCAGAACTGACCCTTTTCGCAAACCTGTGCTGTCGCCACCAAGTACCACATCTCTGATGGCAAACGTGATTCCCCGACGGGCTCCCTCAGGCCTTGCCTTGGGTGCTCCCCGAGGAGCCGGACTTGCAATGACTGTAACCTTGGTCCTAGGCATCCTGGGTGCATATAGGGACCAGGGCAACCACACAGTCATGGAAGAGAGATGCGGGTGTGGGAAGGAAGGGTTGTGTCAACCACAAAAGTTGAGTGATGTTCCAGAATTTTGTTGCTCTTCAGTTGTTCAGTCACGTCTGACTCTTTTGTGACCCCATGGACTGTAATCTGCCAGGCTCTTCTGTCCATGGAGTGGGTTGCTATTCCCTTCTCCAGGGGATCTTCCTGATCCAGGGATCGAACCCCTGTCTCCTGTGTCTCCTGCATTGAAGGCAGGTTCTTGACCCACTGCGCCACCAGAGAAGCCTGATGTTCCAGGACAGAATATGTGCATTTGAGATCATCTCCCCAGTCTTTGCCTGTGCCTGCCGTTGCCTCTCGTTGACTCTAGCACTGTCTTGCTTGGTCTGGCCACCACTGTTGTGGCTTTCTGTGAGGACCAGGTGGAGCTGCATCCTCGGGGTCCGAGGGTCCACAGGACAGAGGTGGGCAGCTGTCTGGACGCAGGCGCAGACCCCTAGGGATCTTTCCCCTCTATGCCCCCTCTGCTCTGCCCTCTCCCTCATCCACCTTCACCTCCTCAGGCTTCTCCCCTTCTTCCTCTCCATTCTCTTCCGCCTCCCTCTCCTCTTTGGCCTCCCTTTGCCTTGGGGAAGCAGAAAGAAAAGGGGAGGGGCGGATTTCATAAGAGAACAATTATATCTTCCTTCCCCACCTACTTCGAGCTCTAGAAGAGCAAAACAAAGGAACTTACATTTAGGATCAAGTTGTGCTGAAAAATGTGAAGGAGTCCATTTTAGTGAGGCTTTCTAAGCGTTTCTGAAGTTGTCAGCATGACAGGGGCCAGGGTTTTCTGTGTCATACAGGGATGAGAAATTGCGCCTTCCTGAGGTCTCTTCCAGTGAGGAGGAAGGGGCCACCCAGAGGCGTGCCTGAGGCAGAGATCCGGCCGGGCCTTCTTAGACATTCTTCTCCATTCCCACCAGCATCAAGATTTAATTTAGAAACAGATGCTGATACTGAAAAGATAACCATCTGCTCAAAAGAAAGCCACCAGGACATCTTTTAATTTAGGATCCTGCCGACCACAGTTAGGCATCTTGTTCCAGAATCTCATAAACATACAGCCCTTTGTTCCTTCTGGATGTTCTTTTGTTTCAGCTAATCCGGAGGTGCTTTTGCCACCAGAGTGGGTTTCCATTTAAAGCCAGTGTCATGTCAAGCTTAGCCTTATCTCAGATTCGCCTTTCCTTGAGCAGAGCTCACCTCTTGCTGTCTCTGGCTCAGGCTGAGGCCTGGCTCGGGCCTCAAATGGAATAACGTGAAATAAAAGGCTATGGGCTGCATTTAAAGATAATTTGAACAGAGAGCATGAGCCACTGGCGTTATTATTTGTTCCATCAAAGAA